ACATAAGAATGATACTTTAGTTGTGCCATAATCAAACTACATTATGCATAAAATGAAACTGAATAACAAATCTCATATATTGAGTGTATATTGTAAAATAAAATTGCAGTTGAATTAGAATGATACTGTAGTATTATTGTAATGAAACCACAGTGCATGTGTGAAGTGAAATTGGGTAGCATGTTTCACATATTGAGTATATATTATTAAATGAAATTGTAGTTGAATAATAATAATAATAATAATAATAATAATAATAATACTTTAGTGGTGCTCTAATGAAACTACGTTGTGTATAAAATGCAATTAAATAGCAAATCTCACATATTGAATGTATATTATTGAATGAAAATATAGTTCATTGAATTAGAATGATATTATAATTGTGTTAAAATGAAACTACAGTGTGCATAAAATAAAACTGAATAATGACAGATGTTACTACATGGAGCATAACGGAACTTGCTGTCTACCATTATTAACTGGAAAACTTAGCTTCAAATGACATCGTTTTGGCCATGGCTATATGGACCGGTCCACCGTATAATTTGCCAACAATAAACTATTAGACCAACTACCTATTGGGCCTACTCACTCTTCCCTTGTGGGCTAAATTCTCTACTTGAGTTCATAGACCTCTTCTCTAAGCTGTACATTTAAAGCCTTTCATGGAGAATCAACATCTCCATGACGGGCTTTTATGTCAGCGTCTTGGCAATTGGCCTGTGTTATATAATAGCGCAAATTATGCTGTGGACACGAGTCCAAAACGACGTCGTTTTTAGAGAAAACGCGGCATTTCAGTTAAAAAAAAATTTAATTGTGTCTCGTCGTTAATGGCGTTATTCGTTGGCGGAATTATGAATGTACAGTTATGGAATTATGGAATTATGAACACAGAGCTCTGACATTATGAACTTACAATTATGAACATATAGTGATAAAATTATGAACATAGAGCTCTAAAATTGTGAACATAGAGCTTCGAAAATTATGAATTTATAGTTATTGAATTATGAATGTACAATTATGGAAGTATGAATGTACAGTTATAGAATTATGAACACAGAGCTCTGACATTATGAGCTTACAATTATGAACATATAGTGATAAAATTATGAACATATGCTCCTATAACCATCGATCTGAAATTACAAAAAAAAAAAAAAAAAAAAAAAACAACAAAAAAAAAAAAAAAAAAAAACTGGAAGATAACGGTGCCACTAACGGCACCGTTACCGTGTCCACAATGCATGTTGGACACGGGTCCATAGCATAACGATTGATATAATAGGGCAAATCATGCCGTACAACCGTGTGCACCATGCATGGTGTACACGGTTGCAAAAATGACATCGTTTTGATTAAAAATGACGCCGTCCGACTTAAAAAAAAAAATAAATCATTTTCGATGTTGTTAACGGCGGCGTTATGTTGTGCATAATTTGAATTATATATCCAAAATTAATGAACTATATATCCAGAATTAATGAACTATATGTCCAGAATTAATGAATTATATATTCAGAATTAGTGAACTATATATCCACACCGGTTACTGGTACTCTGTTTTGGCTTATGGCAGTTCGTTGCGTCTGTGTATTCAGAATTAATGAACTATAAATTCAGAATTAGTGAACTATATATCCAGAATTAATGAACTATAAATTCAGAATTAGTGAACTATATATCCAGAATTAATGAACTATATATCCAGAATTAGTGAACTATATATCCACACCGGTTATTGGTACTCTGTTTTGGCTTATGACAGATTGAAGTTTTTTTAAAAAAATTGATTTGTGGAGTTAAACGGTGCCACCAACGGCATCGTTACTCCACCATAGTGAAACGGTATCGTTCTCAAGGTTGCACAGCGTAACGATTGATATAATAGCATCTGTTTCACACCAGAGCCCATAATCCCAGTAACATTAATAAAAAGAAATATTAATGAAACATTGGTGGATAATTTATTCATTTTGTTTTTTTTTTATGAGTTTGATTTTTACAATTTTATCAACACTCTCTCAGTTGAATCTATAAAACACACACACACACACACACAAAAAAAAAAAAAAAGAATATATGACCTGCATGCCACCCTTACAAACCGTCCTTTATTAGTTTATTCATTTATTTACAAACCTGCTACATGGATACGTCAAGCATATAGTCATTTTTAATTGTAAGCATTATTATTGCACTAATATCAACACAATAATTAGGCCAAATATATACAAACAAATTATAGCAACAACTAACCATTTTTATTAATTGTAGATCAGAAGATTACAAGCATTGGAATGAAAATATTATTAAATATATATACACATGATCAAATGCAACAAAATTTTTATTTTGAAGAATTCTATAAATGGAAAACGAAAATTAAACTTAAGAAGCTGCCAAAACAACAGTTGTTAGATGAAATTAAACAAATTAATTCAGCATATAATAGGGAGAGCTGTTGTCACACTCATTTGTAGTGATGGTTTATTTTAAATTGATACATTAATTATTTCCTTTTAAAATCAAATTAGTTGAACAAATGCTTATTATACTATCTGGAAGGTTTGCATTCAAAATCTTACTTAAGGAGATATAAATTCTTTTCGTTCATATAAAAACAAACAAACAAAAAATCTTTTCGTTTTAACCACAAGCTTAGTTTGGTCCCCATAATATATATGTATTCCAAAAAAGTGACACCAAAAAATTACCTGTATAAATGCCTAGTCACAAAATCTGCATTATATCATGGATTATTGTACGTGTAAGCCAGTTGGGTAATAAAAATTCATTAAGTTTTGGGTTAAGAGTTATCTAAAAATAGGCATGTGCCAACCACACCATGTGACTGTCAAAATTGACAATTATATGCACTATGGTCTGATCTATGGCAGTAATTTAAGGAACAAGTGGAAAATATAATAAGTAGGTAGGATTTTAGATTCTCAACTTGTAGTGTGGCATCTAGATTCAAACCAAAAATGTTTTATGGACTTCTTCAATCTTCATATCTTTCAATAACAAAACAAATAAAAAAAATCAAGGAAAAAAGGGAGAGTTTAATTTCTTATATATGGAGATATTGTATCTTTATTTTTTAAAAAAACAATTATTAATTATATTTGAAATTTTAGCATATATTTAAATTTCTTGAATTACAACTGGTTAATGTTTTCTTCTGGGGCGGCTTTGAAGTGTGATCAATGTAAAACCTAATCACCAACTGGGATCATAATAAAGTTCAATTCATAGAATAGTCGGACCAACGTTTCTTTGAATAGCCGCCTCCCAACTACCATGTTTCAGTGTTTCTTTACGTTAATTATTTAGAACATGGAATCTACATCCTCTTTATTTTATATTTACTTTAATTATTTTCTATATCTTATTTTACTACAAGTAACTAACAAAGTAAAAATATGTCATAAATAATATATGATAAACAGATTGTTAATACAATTGTAAGGTACGTACCTCTTCATTTGAAAACGTATAGGAACTGCTTTCTCTGATCTCTAAATTAAACAACTGCTTTCTCTCCCTTTTCCATCTGTAAAGGTCCTGCGACTCCATTCGGCTGACGCTCTAATGGAGGATTGAGCCGGCGGTGTCATTAGTAGACTCCATCATCTGGTTGTTTTAGGAATAAGCGTTAGATCTCATATTTTCTCCGATCGTTCTTTTCATAGAAGGCGTAGAGACTCTCCAGATCTGACAGGTGCTATCACCTTTTCCATTTATTTCGTTTTCTTTTGATTCTACGTTATCCCTTTGTTCCTTTGACTAGTTTGTTTTCTCTCGTCTCTCTGGCGAGTGTATCCCTCTCGTTTCTTTGGCGAGTTCTCCTCATAAGCGTGGAAAGATAAAATGGTCACATTAGAGTTAGGCTTGACTATGTTTGACCAGATTTGTGAAGAAGCACCGAGTTCATCCAACAACTTCGGCTTCAAATTTATAAAATAGTCCGCTATCCAAGTTTTCTATAACATTACTAGGAAATTTGTTTCTATGTCTGACTGTAAAGAATGCACTGTCATTCTAACGATGTGTATGATAAATATTCTTGTTTATGATTAATGAATTAGCCTTTTATTTTCAAAAATAAAATAAAATACAATTGTGAGGTCGAAAGTTATAAAAGGCATTCCATATGTCCTCTGACCAAATCCAAATTAATCTTACTTTTAAATATTATTATAGATTATTAAAAATTTATATGCATATAAATATATTTTAAAAACCAATAATATTTTTTTTGAAACATTAATAAAACCAATATATAAATTAAAAGTCTTTGATTCCCATTTGCCATTTCCACAGCGGGCATTCCTATGTATAGACGACCACTTGCTTGTTTGGATGACGAGGAAAATGCACAACTATTACGAGAAGGTGTGCACGGAATAAATTCTATTTTGTGATTCTAGTTGATAAATCAAAATTAAAGATAAACTAGCCTAGTTTGCTCATAATCTATCTTGCGATTACCAAGTCAACGACCTGACCAACTTGATTGGAGTTGTTCCCACTTCCCACCACTTGCTATTTCCCCCTCCCTAATAATCTCTATATATGGCATTGAAAGTTGAAAAATGTGAGCATAATATTTTGAATATGTCAACCACACGACGTCCGAGTCTACCCGACAGGAAACCAGCAAGAAAGTAATGCAATTTTGAATTTATATGTTTTGTTCAAAACGTGGTTTTGACAAGTTGGAGGATTGATCAACATAGCAAAACCACCTATGTTTTGTCGTCAGTTACCGTTTACTTTTAATTTCGTCGTATTTTTTTTCCTTCTGGATAGGCTAATATACAATAAGTATACATACATATATACTGGTATAGTTTTTGGATAGTCAATTTGGAACCAATCACATCTCAGTTTGCTTTCCTTTTCATCATTAAATTTATTCCCAGACAATAAACAATGACTTTAGCGACTACCACTTTTCCTATTTAACCACTGCCATGGAAGCCCTTCATCCTCAAGCCATTCTCCATCTTCTTCTTCCTACTTCTCTCTTAGCATTACATTTATCATGGCTTCTTTTGCAACAAAGCTCAGTCTTGCCCTGAGCTTCGTGGCTCTGGCCCTAGCTGGCTACTCTATTTACCAGAACACTCACTCAGCCATTAATGGCACTGAGCTTCAGCTTATCCCGACATGGCTGGATGAAACATTAGAGTCAGCCAACATTCTAAGGGCTCTAGGTTTGGGTAAATCATCGTCCGGCATGCTTTCCGACGAAGCTTGCGTCTTCTCCGCCGTTAAAGAGATTGTGGAAGCTGCCATTACTAATGAAACACGAATGGGAGCTTCTCTCATTCGTCTCTTCTTCCATGACTGCTTTGTGTCCGTATGTAAATTATTATATGTCTTCAATTCATTATATTTATTTTCAACAAGAAAAACTTTTGTGCGTACCATGTTCCTAATTATGTTAATATAATGTAATCTATATTAGGGTTGCGATGGAGGGATCCTTCTAAATGACACTAATGGCGAGCAAAGTGCACCGGCCAATGCTAACTCAGTTAGGGGTTTTGAAGTGATTGAGCGGGCTAAACAAAACGCTAAATCTAAATGTTCCGACACACCTGTATCTTGTGCAGATGTCTTAGCTATTGCTGCTCGTGACTCAGTTGTTAAAGTAAGTTGTATTTGAATTTGGATTTGAATTTAGTATGCATGAACATGTGATTTATATATGTGGTTATTAATTATCATGGTCAGCTGGGAGGTCAAACCTACACTGTGAACTTGGGGAGAAGAGATGCAAGATCTTTCAACCTCACCGGAGCAAATACCCAACTTCCGGCTCCGTTCGACGACCTGGCAATACAAACCCGGAAGTTCGCCGACAAGGGTTTTAACCAAACGGAGATGGTGGCGTTGGCCGGAGCGCACACGGTGGGGTTCTCTAGGTGCGCGGTTTTGTGCAGCAGCAATAACCTTAACCAAGCCAGAAACTCGACGCTGCAATGCACCTGCCCCGTGGCAGCGGGAGACACGGGTCTGGTCGGGCTGGACCCCACACCAAACACCATGGACACGCGTTATTTCCGGGACATAGTCGACGGTCAAGGCCTCCTTTTCTCGGACCAAGTGCTGTTGAACGGCACAACCACAACCGCCGCCGTGAGGAGATACAGGGACGGCACCGGCGCTTTCCTCTCCGACTTCGCCGCCGCCATGGTGAAGATGGGCAACCTGGCTCCGTCGGCCGGCGTCCAGCTCGAAATCCGCGACGTTTGCAGCATCGTGAATCCCACTTCCGTGGCAGCCATGTGATCGAGAACGTAACAAAAATATAAATTCCTCTTAGTTCTCAGTTGAGTCAGTCCCCTTGTCGTCGTGTAAGATTCCCAGTCTGTATGTTCAAAATAATCATCTTATTGTGGCATTTCTTCTTGTGAGTTGTGATCTGTGGACCTAATTCCAAAAATTGGGAATAATATAATATTTTGTTTTTGCATCCATATCATGAGGACCATGAGTAGCTTTAATTTAAGAATAAAGTAATATTGGGTAGATCGAAGGTAGTAAACAATTGTGTATCCTAAATCTCTATTTGCACCTAATCTCTTGTAGTACTCGCATGCATGAACTTTTGCAAAAGCACATGCCCTAGTATATTATACTACACATTATTACATTATTACTTTGGAAAAGTGAATATGAAAGATAACATTGTTTTGTTACATACTTTCATGCAATACAAGGTTAAAACCCCCTACTCTTACAGCCATACTAATGGTGTTCATGGGCGTACTTACTGCACTACGAATATAATACTCATCAACATATATAATATCTACATGTTTATATAATTAATTTGTAATATAAATAAATTTATGAGCCAATGATGAATATAAAAATTCATTATCGACCACGAATGAATCCAATTCTAAGAGGGATTGGGACAGTCTAAGCAAATAATCAGGCCGGGACGTGGTTCGTGGTGGCCCTTAGAGTTGTGGATTCAACATTTTGTGAACAATAATAATACTATGATGTACCAGTACTATTCAAATGAAAAATGAAAGAAAAATAAAGTATTATTGGATATATAATAGAAAAAGTGACATCCTATATCTCCATTTGCATAAAATATATTGTACTCGCATTCATGCATGCATGAACTTTTGCAAAAGCACATGTAGCATTGTAGTACGCATGATTACTTTGGAAAAGTGAATATGAAATAAAACGTCGTTCTGTTACTTTCATAGGTTATAATTTTAATTCAATTTATAGTTTGTAAGAAATAATTAATAAATAAATAATTGATAAATTTATTTTTAAGGAAATTAAATTCAAAGTAAAAAAAAAAAAAAATCTTTTAGTGGCGATAATATATAATTAACTCAAAGAGAAAATGATGAAAAATAATTATATCTTATCTCGCAATAAAATTTTATTACGTACAATATGATCGTATTGTTCAAATAGATTAAGAAAGTATAACGTTATCATTGATAAAGTGAATTGAAAATGTTTAGCTTATACCTTCTGATGGATATATTGGACCCGGAACGAACCGACCCGGAGAGACGGACCCGAGGCGCCTCGGCCATGGGTCGAGCCCGGCCACGGACGAGCTCGGTACACCCGAGCTCGTCACCATGGACCCAGCTACTGCCGAGTCGAGCCGGTCCATGGTGGACTCGGCTAGGCCGAGCTCGGCACATGCCCGACTCCAGGGCCGTTCTTAAGAAAATTGGGGTCCTGTACGAAAATTAACATTGGCCCCCTTTTTGTATAATTATAAATATATAAAAGATATATTGTATTGTACCAAAAAATATATATAATAGTCTATAAAAAATTTATTATTCAAAATTTCACTTGAAAAGTGACATTCTTCCTCTTCAGTCATATTTAGATGTAAAATTATTCACCAATTCATTGAGTTTTTTTTTACAATATAGTTGATCATAAGTAAGATTTCAACAACTTCAACTTTAAAAAACTTCTTTATGCATAACAACAGTAATGAAAATAGTTAAGACTAATTTTGTAGTATCAAAATACAAGAAATTATATTGTTATTCACCAATCAAAAAAATTCCTAGCTAGGGTTAGTTATTGAATTAATAATTTTAAAATTTTGAATAAAATTAAAGAATTAAAATATTTAATTATTTACATACCTTCATACATTTATCATGAAGAATAAAAAAATTGAGGATGCCAAATGCACAAACAACGCACTTCGAATTAATAATTATTAAGACCGATCGAATTCTTGCGTTATGAATACAAATCTTGCGTGTATGCATTATAATAGGAATAAGAGTAATTTTTTACTCTTTATATATAATAATTTTTACAATAATCAAATAGACCCGCCTCAATTCCTATAAGTTATAGGACTATAACTCTATACGTAAACTTTTTAGAATTTTAGACCGTCTTAATTTCTTTATACATAAATTACACCTACACTAATATATAAAATATAAATATAAAATAATAATTTTTTTAAAAATAAAAGTGCCCCCAAAATTTGGGGGCACAATGCACATATATGCAATGTACGTAATATTTGGGGCCCCCAAAATTTGGGGGCCCTGTGCGCTTGCCCTGGCCAGACATGGCCAGGGACGGCCCTGCCTGACTCGGCACATGCCCGACTCGGCCATGCCGAGTCGGCCCGCTTTGGACCCGGTCCCGGTCCCGGAGGGGATGCGGTCAAAGCGGGCCGATCTAACCACCCCCGGTTCTAGGGGTGCGGTTGGGGGTTGAGATGGTATAAAAAGCTCCCTCCTTGTCCTAACAAAGGGCCCTGATCATTACACAACACAATAGATTCCTAAATTGCTATCTTCTAGCCTTATTGTCCTAATCAAGCCTTGTAATAGCTTATTAGCGATAATTAATACAATATACGGTCCCTGCGACCTACGGTCCCCGCGACCTTATTATATCCCTGCGTCATATTATTTATTTCGTACATATACTTATCCGGGTTTAATAATTCGGGCTACCCCCGGGGAATTAAATCCATCATTGGTGCTCTTGTTGAGAGCTGCTGTACCAGCTCAAGCGTGTTCTATATTCATTGGTCCACCGCGACCAGCTACCATGATAAGGTCGAGATCCAACTCTCGACCACACCAACGGTTCCCGTGGCACCCAGCTCGCCGCGACCGAGAATGGCCCCAACGCCCCAGCCTCCAACCGGCTGCCTCCACTAGGTCGGGGACTTGAGAGATCACCTCACCAACCATCGCAGTGGTGGGGTGCCATCTTCCATCGCCCCTCCTCCAAATCTCGCCCCGCTACAGGAGGGGGCGGTTACCCTTTAGCAATCCTCTACGACTTTGGCTCACCTCACAGAGGGTCCCAAAGGAGGTGCGCACGACGGTCTGGAGGCCACACAAAGGGTGCGCTACCCCGCCCCTCCCAAGGGGGCGTGATAGGTCGAGCACCCGGCTCCCCCGAACCCCAGGAGCTCAAATATTGACATATGTTCTTTTAACCCATGGTTGCGGTCGTGCGTACCGCCCCCGACCTTGTCATTTACCTAACGGTAGTACATGGGGGACGCCCCACTCACTACCTAACGGAAGAACATGTTATGGGTTGCTTGCCCCTTGACAAGGTCGAAGCCAAACCGGTGGGGAGAACCTACATAGTCCCCCGTGATATACACTACAAGGAGTCCTCCAATGACACCTTGCTACATTAGGTGTCAGTCATAGAGGAGGTCCACAAAGGGACCTGCCCAGTCCACCGGGGGGTCCGTCCCCTGTAATGATGTTTTAAGAGGTGGAGCATTCCCTCCAAAGATGTTGTAAGAGGTGATCCGTCCTCTCCAATGATGTTTCAAGAGGTCATCCGTCCTCTCCAATGATGTTTCAAGAGGGGGAACGTCTCCTCCAACGACGTTTTAAGAGGTGGAGCGTCCCCTCCAAAGATGTGGCAAAGGTGATCCATCCTCTCCAATGATCTTCCAAGAGGTGGGACGTCTCATCCTACAACGTTTTAAGAGGTGGAGCGTCCCCTCCAATGACGTTTCAAGTCCCTCCAACGATGTTGTAAGAATCGAGTACTCACCCGACCTCCCCAAGCGTACCCTAAGGGGGAACGAGGTCCGACCTCGCGTACCAACCCCGACGGGAGAGCCCGATGGCTTAGTCCGGCAGGACTTGGCTCATGCGGGTAGCGTACCCTAAGGGGGCACGAGGTCCGACCTCGCGTACCAACCCCGACGGAAGAGCTCGGTGGCTTAGTCCGGCAGGACTCGGCCCAAGCGGCTTGCGCACCCTAAGGGGGCACGAGGTCCGACCTCGCGTACCAACCCCGACGGGAGAGTCCGATGACTTAGTTCGGCAGGACTTAGCTCATGCGGGTAGCGCACCCTAAGGGGGCACGAGGTCCGACCTCGCGTACCAACCCCGACGGAAGAGCCCGGTGGCTTAATCCGGTAGGACTAGGCTCAAGCGGCTAACGTACCCTAAGGGGACACGAGGTCCGACCTCGCGTACCAACCCCGACGGAAGAGCTCGGTGGCTTAGTCCGGCAGGACTCGGCCCAAGCGGCTTGCGCACCCTAAGGGGGCACGAGGTCCGACCTCGCGTACCAACCCCGACGGGAGAGTCTGATGACTTAGTCGGGTAGGACTTAGCTCATGCGGGTAGCGCACCCTAAGGGGGCACGAGGTCCGACCTCGCGTACCAACCCCGACGGAAGAGCCCGGTGGCTTAGTCCGGTAGGACTAGGCTCAAATGGCTAACGTACCCTAAGGGGGCACGAGGTCCGACCTCGCGTACCAACCCCGACGGAAGAGCCCGGTGGCTTAGTCCGGTAGGACTAGGCTCAAGCGGCTAACGTACCCTAAGGGGGCACGAGGTCCGACCTCGCGTACCAACCCCGGCGGAGGTGCCCGGTGGCTTAGTCCAGGGGGACTAGGCTCAAACGGTTAACATAAGGCATTGTGCTAATAAGGGAGAGCTGATTGTCCATTCAAAACGCCAAGTCAATACAATGTGCCCACCTCACAGACGGGAAACTAAAAAAGGTGCCTACCTCCGGGAGGGGAACATGTTTAACAAAGCAAAGACAAAAGGAAGTACCTACCGGAGGGGAGATATAAAATGTGCCCACCTCCGGGAGGGGAAGCATGCTTATCAAAGCAAGGTACAAAAGGACACACCTCCCGGAGGGGGCCATAAGATATGCCCACCTCCCGGAGGGGAGACATAAAATATGCCCACCTCCCGGAGGGGAGTCATAAAATGTGCCCACCTCCCGGAGGGGAGACAAAATGTGCCCACCTCCCGGAGGAGAGATACAAATGTGCCTACCTCCGGGGGGAGAGGCATGTTAGGAAAAGTACAAAATGGTGGAGCAGAAGACGGAACCCATATGATAAAGAAGGGATGACGCTAATCAAGCCGCTATCAAGTCTAATCCTTGAGGTTGGGGTCGGCCACGTTGGGGTCGGTTACATTGGGGTCGGCCACGTTGGGGTCGGCCATGTTGGGGTCGGTTACGTTGGGGTCGGCCACGTTAGGGTCGGCCACGTTGGGGTCGGTCACGTTGGGGTCGGCCACGTTGGGGTCAGTCACGTTGGGGTCGGCCACGTTGGGGTCGGCCACGTTGGGGTCGGTCAACGTGTCGGCCACGTTGGGGACGGTCACGTTGGGGTCGGGCACATTGGGGTTGGCCGTGTGGGGCTCGGACCCATGGAGTGCGACTCGTGTTTACTCTCCTTCATTAACAAACCTCGGCCAAAGACGCCTCGACACAAGGCACCTCGGCCCAAGAGGGGCTACCTCATGAGCTCACCCAAGAGGAGGACGACTACCTCATGAGCTCGCCCAAAAGTGAACTCAGAAATTAAAGTCTCATACACGATGCCAGGGAGTCCAAGACTTGTTAGTGTTCTTGCGGAAGAGAAGAAGTCCCGATTGCGATGGAATCACACCAAAGTCGGACAAAGAGGAATGCGGAAGAGAAGAAGTCTCGCTCATGATGGATATATTACGATTGGAGCAAACCGACCTGGGAAAGCGAAACAAGGAAGTATGGAATAGACCCAGGGCATAGTGGTGGGGCCCCGTGCTCAGCCCAAGGTGCCTCGGTCATGGTGAGCTCGGTCGCAGGAGTCGGCTCGCAAGGTGTCTACTCTCTATCGTTGTCGACTTATCACAACGAAGAGAGTGGGGGACTCGTGATGGATATATTGGACCCGGAACGAACCGACCCGGAGAGACGGACCCGAGGCGCCTCGGCCCAAAGCAACTCGGCCATGGGCCGAGCCCGGCCACGGACGAGCTCGGTACACCCGAGCTCGTCACCATGGACCCGGCTACTGCCGAGCCGAGCCGGTCCATGGTGGACTCGGCTAGGCCGAGCTCGGCACATGCCCGACTCGGCCATGCCGAGTCGCCCCGCTTTGGACCCGGTCCCGGTCCCGGAGGGGATGCGGTCAAAGCGGGCTGATCTAACCACCCCCGGTTCTAGGGGTGCGGTTGGGGGTTGAGATGGTATAAAAAGCTCCCTCCTTGTCCTAACAAAGGGCCCTGATCATTACACAACACAATAGATTCCTAAATTGCTATCTTCTAGCCTTATTGTCCTAATCAAGCCTTGTAATAGCTTATTAGCGATAATTAATACAATATACGGTCCCTGCGACCTACGATCCCCGCGACCTTATTATATCCCTGCGTCATATTATTTATTTCGTACGTATACTTATCCGGGTTTAATAATTCGGGCTACCCCCGGAGAATTAAATCCATCATCGTCATCCTCCTATTTATTAGTTGTCTATGATGATTGCAAAGTTCTCTATAAATGATTGATTGACAATTAAGGTACATGTTTTCGATCACTACCTAAATTAAGGTAGCCTTTATGGTTCTTAATAGTTGTCTCATAATATTCTTACAATGTCCCCGAACAAACGCTCGTTATTGGGTTGCATCATTGAATTGAAAATGCTAATATAATACCACTTCTTGAACTAATTGTATTGGTCCATAATCTCATCAAGTGGTATAACAACAACATTAATAAGAGATTGTGAGGCCATATGGATTTAAAACGTGAAACGGCCCCATAAATAAATATGACCCAATACAATACACCATTCTATATTTTTTTTTTTGAATGCAATACACCATTCTATATAGAAAATTCAATTTTCATCAAAATTTTAAGGGCATCTCCAATGAATAAAAAAAAAAAAAATGGGAGAAAGAAGGGAAAAATAGTTGGGAGGAAAATTACAACTTTTGGAGATACTGTTCTTTTCGAAAGTTGTCATGTCACATGTATGACGCATGACAAATATGCGCCAATCACAACCCAATCGGGACCAACAGTTATCATTGTTAGATGTCTTAATTTGTTTGGTTAACGATTAACTCAACTTCTTTAATTTGTTTTCCTTTGTGATTACTAGCAGAGACAGTGTGTAATGTTTGACGTTACGTTAATCTCAATAATCAGCGCAGCAAGGAAAAAGGGAAGATTATTACCAGTTTGTGGCTATTAATAGGCCATTCAACTTCTTACCAAATATTTAGTGGGTACAGGCCACAGGGCAGAGACTAGAGAGAGAGAAGAAGTTCTAATCGGCTACGGCATTATTCTTGTTCACGTAAATGATTAGGCACCAGTTTAGTATCCACACACCTGTGTACCGTGTTCCATACCAAGTATATTATTCTAATTAATAAAATACATTATTTTACTCCAGAAATTTCATTATACTAATACATAAAGTACATTATATATTATTCTAATTTATAAAATACACTATCTTACCCCAAAAATTTCATTATTCAAGCACATATAAAGTACATTATTTTAACTCATAAAATATATTATCTTATCCAAAATGTTCATTATTCTAACACGCGTGTGAAACAACGAATTTTTCTTTTAACATCAAAACGACATCGTTTTAAACCTTGATCCACACAATAATTTGCCTTCGGCGGAAGATTTTTGGACAGTCATGTTCGTGTTTTGGAGTTCCTTTTTTGGACCCTTTTTATATGTTTGCAATTAACACATTATATGTATTTAGTTAATATATATTATGTGTATTCAATTTATTTAACTGAATGCACATAATATATTAACGACAACCACATAATCTAAATGTTATTTTGTATTATAGTCTACAATAAAATATAAACCCTGGACCATGGTATAATTTGCTTTTTGTGGGCACTAATTTGTCCTTTCCACTATCTTGTAGCGGTTGTAAGTAATCAAGTTAATTATTCGACAAACTAATTCCAGGCTAACCGGAGCTCCGGTCATCGAATGTTTGGCTATAAATACATACCAATAGTTTCTATGGATTCCCATCCCACTTTCGCTCATATTGCCACAAGAAGAACAACTAAGAAAATAAAAACTATGGCTTCTAACAGCAACTTCAACGTGAGCGTGACGAAGAATGAGGTGGTAGCAGCGGCGCTGCCAGTGCAAGAGCCGCATTATCTCCCACATTCCAACCTCGACTTGCTCTTGCCTCCTGTCGACGTCGGGGTTTTCTTCTGTTACCAAAAACCTGCGGCGGCTTCGGCTCAAACCACGACCGAAGAACATGCGACTACGTTTGGTTGGATGGTGAATACTCTCAAGGCGGCCTTGTCTGAGGCGCTGGTCTCCTTCTATGCGCTGGCCGGAGAGGTGGAGCAAAACCTCGCCGGAGAACCGGAGCTGATTTGCAATAACCGAGGCGTAGATTTCGTCCAAGCATTTGCTGATGTGGAGCTCAGAAAACTGAACTTGTATAAACCTGATGACAGCGTTGAAGGCAAGCTCGTTCCCAAGAAGAAGCAAGGCGTCCTTTCCGTTCAGGTAAAATATAATGGATTTGAAGTTGTTTAACTATTCCTATTGTTTTTGCATGCATATATGTAAACATGTCGTCCTGACTTTTACTCACAAAATAGTGAAAGTTGTTTAACTCAACCTTTCAGGCTTCCTAAACCTGTATGTTTAGGGAAAAAAAATATAGAACTATATATATAGCTGGTAGTATCATCATTTATATATATATAAGAGTGATTTTTGTAGTATATGATGTAACAGGCTACAGAACTGAAATGCGGAGGAATAGTGGTGGCAGTTAAGTTTGATCATCGGGTGGCCGATGCCTACTCTGCCAACATGTTTCTGGTATCTTGGTCGGAAATAGCTCAGGCGAAGCAACTATCTCAGCTACCATGTTTCCGGCGATCATTTCTTTTCCCACGGCGCCCCGCCCACTACGATCTCTCCCTCGACAACATGTACGTACCAATCTCATCACTCCAACCGGAGGCAGTGGAAGAACCCAAGATAAGCCGCATATACTGTGTCGCCGCAGAACAAATCAGGGAGCTCCAATCACAAGCCAACCATTACTCCGCGGACGAATTAAAACACCCAAGGAGGACGAAGCTCGAAGCATTCTGTGCCTTCCTATGGAAAACAGTTGCCTCAGGGAAGAGTCGCCGGAATTTCAAGAATTTCAAGTTGGGGATCGTGGTAGACGGGAGGACTAGACTAAGCATCGGCGACGAAAATAAGGCCAAATTTTTACAAGGGTACTTCGGAAACGTTCTTTCGTTTCCATTTGAAGAGAAAACGATTAAAGAACTGAGAGAAAAGCCGTTGAGTTGGGTGGCATCCGCCGTGCACGAGTTCTTAGAGGAAGCTCTGACGGGGGACCATTTCCTTGGGCTAATAGATTGGGTGGAGGCTCACCGCCCCGAGCCGGCCATACCGAAAGTACACGACTGCGTTGACGGAGCGGCGTTGGTGGTGTCGTCGGGGCAGCGGTTTCCGGTGAGAAAGATAGATTTTGGTTGGGGGAAGCCGGCGTTTGGATCGTATCATTTTCCGTGGGGTGGGCAATCGGGATACGTAATGCCGATGCCAAGTCCGAAAGGGAACGGAGATTGGATTGTTTACATGCATCTGCAGAAAGAGAAGGTGGAATTGATAGAGACTTATGCCTCACACGTCTTCAAACCTTTTACTTCAGATCATCTCAACTTCAATTGATCATCCACCACCGTCGATCTCCATCTCATCATTCATAATTCAGTCTCGTTATACAACATAATATATACATTAAATAAGTGTAATGTAAAGACTTGTAATAATTTTTTTAAAAAAAATGTTATTCTGCATTATTAAGTGTTTGACTAGACACAATTAACTGACACATTGCTTGATGTGCAGCGCTCTATTGACTTCTTATGGAGCACTAAATGACATTTAATGTTGTCTGATGTGCATATCTAACTGACTTAAATTATCATAATTATTAGACAGTTAATGTAGGTTAGATCTACCAAATTTGTTGAATTGAATAAACTAATAGTTCCACCCGTGCGATGCACGGCAATATATTTCAACCATATAATATATATTATTGTATAATAAAAAAACACTGCCTCAAATCAATTCAAATGTATTAAACATTATTGAATACTTCTTTATATACGACGTTTGTAGTCGTATTTTTCGATTGTACATTTTCGTCATAAATAAGAATTTTTAATCCCTTAGGATTATTAACTCTTGACAATGCTACATACATTTGACCATGATTAAAAATCGGCCTCTTCAAAAACAAATCCACGTTGGACAGTGTTTGGCCTTGACTTTTATTTATTGCCATTGCATATGACAATATCAGCGGAAATTGCTTTCTTTGGAATTTAAACGGCAATCTTGGATCAGAAGGTGTTAATGACATCCTTGGAATTAAGACCTTTGTACCAGCACTTGATCCAGACAGTATTTGAGCTTCTAAAACATGATCCGCCAACTTTGAAATAATCATCCTTGTACCATTGCACAATCCCAATGAGTGATCAATATTTCTTAAGAGCATAACTGGGGAGCCAACTTTTAGAGTCAATGAGTGATTTGGAACTCCAGAACATCGTAAGCCATTTAAAAATTCCGGGGTGTGCAGATCAGCAAGCATGTCAACATTAGAATCAGATTTGCATACCGAATCACAACTGAGATACGTCCTTCCTTCAGCGTTGTTATAGTCATTCATGTATTCGTTGACTGTATCTACAACATCCAAAGTTGGCGCAAGTATCGCACGATCTTTTAGATATTCATGATCTCTGTGGCCACTTTGAAACATAGGGAATGTGCTATCAACAATTGTAGCAATAGGATCCTCTCCACAGTTGAGCAAAAATTGTTCCGGAATATTTATCTCAGATTCTCCATCCATTGAATCACCAATTGTTCCATCACCTATATTAGCAATCCACTTTGCAAAATCCGCAATCTCTTGAACTTCACTATCTGATTTCAAAGCCCTAAGCCCTAGATTCTTTGTTAACCTAAACACTTTACAGCTTCTCCAAAGATAGGAAGAATTTATACTTGCTAGCACAATATCTTGCCTCGTGCCCTTTGGAATGACTGGTAGAATCTGTCTGAAATCTCCACCTAACACCACTGTTTTTCCACCAAAAGTCATATCAAAGCTGTTTGGATTCTTGGCACGCATTATATCTCTCATAGAGCAGTCCAACGCTTCAAAGCAGAATTTATGCATCATTGGTGCCTCATCCCAAATGATCAACTTACATTGCATGATCAAGTGTGCCAAAGGACTGCTTTGGCTGATATTGCAGGTTGAATCTTCGTTAACAGCGATGGGTATTGCGAACCTTGAATGGGCAGTTCTTCCTCCGGGTAATAGAAGAGAAGCTATGCCACTCGATGCAACGTTCAAAACTATCTCACCCTTAGACCTTAGAGCCGAAGATAATGCTCTCCACAAGAATGTTTTTCCCGTTCCACCGTATTCATAAACAAAAAAAAGTCCTCCAAGATTATTCTCAGCATCTTGCAATACGTTGTCATATATTGTTCTTTGCTCTTCAGTTAGTTTCTCCACCAAAGTATCATTCTCTTCCTTCATTACATTAACATCATATGCCAATTCCTCCTATATCAGCCGATTAGTTGTTCTAGAATGATTAACTAAATCGGGTATGGGCATCCCTTGAAAGTCTTTCAGACTTTTTCCCATAGCTGAAAGCATTATTTCTATCTCCGTAAGTGCAAAATTCTTCTTTTCATCTTCTGATATAATCCAATCTGTGATAACATTATTAACAACTATTATAATTTTTTTGGTCAAATTGTATCGTAACAGTAAAAATGAAAAAATACAATACCTGGAATTCCCAATTCTTGTCTAATCTTGAATTGTGCATCGTCGGACAAATGAATCCACGCAGCTTCCCACACCACCTCTGGTTTTGCTATCGAGTTAGTCATCAAGAGAGTGACAAACAATCTTCTCAAATTCACAGGTGTTGCCCAGTGACTTGCTTCTTCTATAGCATGAACATATTCCCTGTCGTCATCTACTAATCCTCTAGCACAACACGCATCCCTAAAAGATTCATATTCGACCCCATCAACTTTTTGTATGTCTAAATAACTTGTGGGACCTTTGACTTTATTCAAAAGACACCTCAAATAAAATATCTCCCCTGACCCAGGAGGCACATAGAATACTCTACCGATTGAAAATCCTCTTTTCCTTGGCTGCCATTTTCTAATATCTTTCTTCCATACAAATTTCGTTGGCATTTCAGCATATGTCAAATTCCTTGCTTCAGGGTAGGTTTTATTTGCCTCAAACCATTCCAGGAACATGCTTTGTAAGATTGTTGGCCGGCTGAGAATGTTGTCAACGGGATCATCATCTGCGAAAACAACACTTTGTTGATTCGGCAAGTGAAAGCTCAATCGTTCCACTGGTGGTGTCCTAAACTGTATATCAAAACCGAACAACCGCCACGATGCTTCACACGGCGATATGTACCTACAATCATAGTACATACTGATTTCATCAATAACCTGCGGTCCATCTTGATCATTGCTGGTCCTGTAAAACTCTGCTGTAACCCTGTCGTGACCCTTGTTCATGTACTTGAACAGGTACTTGATTGAACGGGACTGATTGCACCATTCAACATTAATATGAGCCCTATACTTTAACAACAAATGCCTATTGTGTGGTACAACGTACCTATTATCCAAGTTAATCCCATTGCGCGTCACGGAACGACCATTGTGTCTTCTCCGATATATAGGATAACCATCCTCATCAAAAGTTGTGCAATTAACAAACTTTTTGGGGAAATGTTTAGTACATTTACCATTCGACATACATGGAGAAGTCAACCTGGCTTTCCCGCAAGGTCCATGCATCATAAACTCCTCAACAACTTTGTAGTATTCTGCGTCAGCTTCTTGATCAGGTAACTCAGCTGAAATAATGTGGTCCAATTTTTCGACAGAATGGGTTCCATTGATTTTATCCAGAAACAGGAGAATATGAGCATGCGGTAATCCTCTTTTTTGGAACTCTATGGTATATATCACTGTTAATAAATAAGAAGAAATAATAAATTAGAATAGAGCAAATAATAGGTACAGTGAATTTTCTCGCACATCTTGAAATAGCGGCATTTAATTAACGTACCTCCCATTACTGGTCCAAATAACTTGTTCTTCCTACAGTCTGAGATTAGAGCATCCAATTTCATTTTGAATAATCTACATATGATGTCAGGACGATCTTCAGGTTTTAACTTTCTATCATTCAAAAAGCGTTGTACCTCAGGCCACTTGGGGTTGCATGTGAATGTGATAAACAGATCAGGATATCCGACCAATCTACATATCGCCATGGCGTCCTGGTAATTTTGAATCATGTATCTAGCACCCCCTGTAAAACTCGAAGGCAATATTATTCTCTTTCCTTGAGTAGTGGGGTCAACTTCACCGCGTGTTAATGCATCATTCAAGCAATTATACGATTCGCACCTCAAACTTTTTTGGTGTGTCCTTATATAGATTAACCTTCCTGACTCCACCATTGTATAGGCATCTACCAGAAATTGTTGGAATAACCTCTTTGAATGCAATAAAGTAGATACCTCAGAGACCCTCGACATTATACGGTATGCAAAATATTCTCGAGGACTTATCCTTTGACGACCAGTTGTGTTTCCTTTTAATGTAGAGAAGGGGATGTCTTCCCTGTATCCGTCCTCACCATACGAAAACAACAGAGGGTATTGCATCGGCAAGTAAGCTGGATTTAATTCACTAATTCTTTGCAAGAGGCCACTTTTCGTCTCCACCATAATGTCCCGTTCTCCAATATTTGTATCAATATCACCGACAATTAATGCTGCCACTTCAGAAACTTGCGGCAAATTGTATGTTCTGGCATCCTTTGATCTCTTCCCAAGCAATTTTATTTTGACCTCAGCAAGTGGATTCATTTGTAGCTCAGATCGTGCCATGCGGAATGATTTGACCAAGACATTACATGTATCCAACACTTCTTGAATATCATTAACAATCTCTACATGGATTCCGTTTTGCTCACCATCTGGCCTAGAAAGAGACAAAAAAATCAATTGAATTATGCACATATAATATGAATGGATGTGCGGTATAATATGCTTGTACGTATACATATAATTAATTAACAGGTACGTACCTTACAGAATTGATACGATTACTAAGTTCATTATTAGTATCATATATATACAACTGGGCAAAATGGGGTTTTTTCCCGTCGACCGGCAAGAGACTACCAATGTAGTGAAAGTTTTGGCCATTTATCCTAAAAATTGGTGGACCACCGTTCTTGTTCACGCTTCTATCTATTTTACCACCCATGGACGTGAAGCAAAACATACTATTGTATGTTCTAATGTTTTGCAGGAATTGCTTGCTTTTTTCTCCTTCTCCAAAAAATAGATTGTAAATTGCATCTGGTGGCCTCAGGTTTGGTGGCAATTTAATCTTACCGTTGTTGCAACACATTGAATATCTTGGGGTGCCATGAATAACTGTTTTGTTTATCCTTTCTTCGTGCCAAAACAGCGCTCCACAATGTTGACACTTGTTATTTGCATCACCAAGATCTTTGTATTCAACTACATTGATAATTATATATAATTTAGGTCAATTATATAAGATGACCTTAAACATTTCATATTATGCATACACGTATTGAACTGATTATTATCAAAAAGGTGAATGCGATTGGTTTCTACACTAAACATAATAACGTACACATAAAATAATTTTGAATTTACGTA